CGGTGGTGATCGTTTTTTGTTCCATCCACTTGACCCCAAACAACAGCGACAGTGAATGAAACAAAAACCATCGCAACTCGGCTCTACAGGTGCGCTCAAACCCCCCCCCAAAACCAGACGTCACAGTGACTGAACAAAGTGATCGCAGCCTGAAGCTAGGTGCTTTCCGGACATGTCATCACCTGCTTGTCCCAGCACAGGTGAGCTCAGGGCTGGACCAAAGGAAAAAAATACGAAGGTTCAATGAAAGGTCCTCCAGTTTTGAGAGTCATGGACTAGTGTGGGGCACCCGCAGAGAGGGCCCCGGCAAACCCAGCCTGCGCCACGAACTTTGGCAAGAAGAAGCTATCAGATTCTATTAGGCCCTGCTGGGGCCTATTGGGCCCTATTGGGCCCTATTAGGGCCTCTTGGGGCCTATTGGGCCCCGTTGGGCCTTATCGGGCCCCGTTGGCCCCACAAGGTTTCTGCACGCGCAAAGACATTGATTTTGGCTCAATTTAGCGATCCCCACAACAAACTTTTCACTTGCTTTTGGTTTTCACCTTCGCTGCGATGCCCTTTGGCGCCGACGACTTTGCTGCTTTGCCGCCAGCCTTTGGCTTGGCCTTAGCAGCTGCCTTGCCTTTGCTTGGGCCGGCTGAGGATGCAGAGCCACTTGGCGGCTCCAATTCAGAATTCATCTCCCGAATCACGTCATCGATTTGTTTCTCGCTCGGCCTCAGAAACCAAAAGCCTTATCGATTTTGCAAGGATTTAAATCTTGCAGCACTTAGCTACCGACTGTGTTCGCGAAGCAGCATCGCTCTCCGACATAAGAAACGCTGGCCACAAATAATCCAGAACCACCTCTTTCAGGGCAGTCTTTTCAGACAATCCACGCTTCGGCCCTCCCCACGTCACGGCGTGTGACCTAAGAAAGTCACTGGTAGCGCCTTAGTTTGCCCCTCGCTCAGTCAAAACCCAAAAACACAACACAAAGTTGCGTAGCATAGTTCACACGCGCGGAGAGAGAGAGAGAGAAAGAGAAAGAGAAAGATAAAGAGAGAGAGAGAAAGATAAAATGAAAGAGAAAGAGAAAGAGAAAGAAAGAACGAGCAAAAAACGAGAAGGAGAGGAGGAAAGTAGGAAAGAAAAAGCAGAGTGAGAGAGAGAGTGAGAAGGAGAGCGAGAAAGAGAAAGAGGGAAAGAGCTAAAGAGAAAAACAAGGGCACAGGAAAGACAGAAAGTAAGAAATCAGGAACTAAACTACACAGAAAGAAAGATAACAAGGGAAAAAAGAGAAGGAGAGAAAACGAAAAGAGAGAAAAAGAGAGAAAGAAACAAAGAAAGAACAAGAGAGAGACAGAGAAAGAGAGAGAGAGAGAGGGAGGGAGAGAAAGGGAAAAAGAGATAAACAAATGAAGGGAGAGCGAGAGAGAGATAAAGGCGCAAAAAGGAAAAAAGATACAGAAAGGGAGAGAAAGTCAGAGAATAGATAGAGAGAGAGAGAGAGAGAGAGAGAGAGAGAGAGAGACAGAGAGAGCGAGGGAGCAACACCGAGACACTGCGCTGTGTTTCACGTAGTTTGCGAGATCTTAGTTTGCTTTCGCGCGTGCGTGCGTGCGTGTGTGTGTGTGTGTGTGCGCGTTCTCCCCCCTCCCTCTCCCTCTCTCCCTCTCTCCCTCTCTCCCTCTCTCCCTCTCTCCCTCTCTCCCTCTCTCCCTCTCTCCCTCTCTCCCTCTCTCCCTCTCTCCCTCTCTCCCTCTCTCCCTCTCTCCCTCTCTCCCTCCCTCTCTCCCTCTCTCCCTCTCTCCCTCTCTCCCTCTCTCCTCGTTCAGGACGCGCGTGCCAAAGCGCAAACACCAACGCGAGCAAACCGACACAAGCAGCGCAGACCACCAAAATGCACAGCCTCGCGGAAACACACGCAAGCAAGCAGCAAGCAAGCAAAGCAAGCAAGCAAGCAAGCAAGCAAGCAAGCAAGCAAGCAAGCAAGCAAGCAAGCAATCAAGTAACAAACAGACAGACAGGCAAACAGACAAACCAAATCGAACCAAACCAACAAACAACCACACCAACCAACAAACAGACAAACAAACAAGCAAACCAACAACTAAACAAATCAACAAACAAACAAAACATGAGCAACACAAGCGGGCGCAGTGCGCAGCGCGATGCGAAGAAACTAACAGCCAAACAGGCAGACTAACTTTGACACACCCCCTGCAAACCCAAACCAAAGCCATAAGCAAACAAGCGAATGATTGCGCTTGCCAGCTAAGAAAGCAGCAAACGAACGCCAGGCTAACAACTCCAGAGCGAGAACAGCCGGGAACAACATCCACAACATTCGGGCACTCGTTCGCAGAGTCGCAAACAGAAAGCAACGCGCATGCGTAAACACCAACCAGAATTACACACTGCTGAAAAAGTTCTGGAGCATGTTCTCCGCACCGAGGCGCATGGGATCCATGCGTAGTACCGTTTCATAGTGGGATTGCGGTTGCACCCATATCCTGGAAAATTAGGCACCAGCTTCCGGATGGCTGGATGAGTGCTTTGCAAATGGATGTAGGCATCCACCTTCTCACTTGGTCGGCGCTCGCTGCTTTCAGTCACACCTTCCTGAGTTTTTTCCTGATTGGCTACCACTTGCTCCAATTCTTCAAACCCCTCTCTCTCCTCAGCACTGAGACTTTTCAAAGCAATGAGAACTTCTTTTGGGCAACGCACCTTGGGTTTGGACCCGCCCATAATGGCACTGACCATGGCCTGAAATTCGGGGGAGTCCGGAGACAAATCCGCAAAGTAATGCTTTACGATGGCAGTCGCGTAGTCAATCTTGATGAGCGCCCCATGGGCGCCACTGCCCTCCGCGGGCAGCAAGTACTTCACTTGTTTCTGAACAGCGGAAAGCTGCGGGACCGTGAGATACACCCCTGCTTTGATGGCCGGCTTGACCAAGCTTTCAGGCGGGCCAGCAACTTCCAAAACGACACCCCATTCGGACAAAGAGTCTGGAGCCAGAGCGGGTGGGAGAAGTTTGACCGGCAAGTGTTTCCACTCGCTGGCCTCGCCCAAGGATGTGTTGGTCATCCAAAGAGGAAGCATCGCATGCGTCTTCACATCAAAGACCAAATATTCCTGCCATTCCCAAACTTCATTCTTAGGAAACTCGACTTGGAAGTTCAGGGTGTGTATAGGGCCACTAAACAAAAAGGGTCCCTGCACTGTCGGGAACACCGGAGACAATTGCTTGTTGGACGAATGCTTGGCCACCCTTTTGGACCACACTATTTTTTTAAACTTTCTGGTTCTCGAACTCAAGCCATCGCAGGGGTCGCTGTCCTTCTCCTTGTATTTGTGGGCAGTGAGAGGGACCCCCAACGCAGCGTAACTCCTGAAGCCCAGGCTCAATGTCACCCTGTTTGTGCGTGAGCTCACGTACAGCAAGCCCTTGACGAAGAAGACTCCTGGCAGGAATGGCTCCGGGCGGGAACACCAAGGATTTAAACCCCCACCCAAATTTAGGAAACAGCCGCCTGTCCACGCCAACTCTGCGCCAGCAAAGTTGGAGGAATAGTTTGTGACCAGCCAGGCGGTTGCAGCTGCAGATAAGTGGTTCCCTCCGGGGCCGGCTGCTTTGAATTTTTGCTCCACAACACTTCTGCTCAGCTTCAACTGCTCAGGCAGTCTCACTTTGCCAACAGCCTGTTTCTCCTGCTGCACAGTTTTGGCAGTAACAGGAGCTTTAGCTGCCAAGAAATCTTGAAAAGTAGTCTCCACGACGGGAAATTTGGCCTGCTTGAAAGACGGGGTGGCCCTCATGTAGAAGTATTTGGTCCACCTAAGCCACACTTCAGGTAACAAGACAACAGGACTCCCTTTTACAAAAACCCTTAGACCCCCGTTGAAAGGGAAGGTTGGAATATTTTTCGGGGTGTTGCCTAAACAAAGCCTTGGACAAGTTTGGAAGCCACGCTGCTTTTGAGCCTTGTCGTTTTTGGAAAGCCGCTTGATCGTAGAAGAGACATGGCCGAACATGTCCTCCAAGTACATCTTTGTGTTCATTGGCCGGGCAAAGAGGGCAAAGCTGAGGGCTCGGACATCGCCATCAGTCGCCTTCCACTGCCCATTCTCGCAAACGGCGTAAGCCTCACGGCTCAATTGTTGCCGATTCCAAGCCATTTCGTATAGGCACTTTCTCAAACTCGCCAAAGTTGCAGCAGGCAAAGAGTCTGGCTCATTGTACACGATCTCCTCAGCGCGCAAAACTGCGCGCCAGACCTGGCGTGCTGAGTTGAGACCACGATCCCGCATTTCCACTTGTTCATCATGAACTCGGCTGAGTATGTTGGGCAAGCACATGGCGTGGTGCACTTGGGACCAGCACCGGGCACTTGCCAGTTCCACCAACAAGGTAAAAAAGGACCGCAAGAGTTTGCCTTGCTCCTCAACCCAGGCTGAATCTAGATTCTCTGGCCTGGCTGTGCTGGTCGCCAGCGAGATGAACCCCAATTCAGAGAGGACCTCGCCGCTATGAATCAAGGCTAGCGTTTGGCACACAGTTGAGTACCATGGGTCTCCCCGACTTCTTGCAGCTGCCCAACGTAGAGATTTCTCCTGGCCCCAAGGTGCCAGAAGCCAGGCCAAATGTCAAAATAATACTTCTCAACAGTCGTAAAAACCAAAGAAAAAATAAAACGAGGGTGTACGCATGTCTGTGTGTTTCTGTCCTGCCCCCCCAAGTGGCATTTGAGGGTTTCTGTGTATTCCTGGATCAGGGGCTGAGTCGCTAGGTAGATCATGCGGAATTCCAGTTGAAGGTAGCGATCTCCAAAGAAGTGCGCTGCAATCTCCATATTGTTTTTGAATCTAGCACGGATTTCCTGCAGTTCCTGCCGCGTCTCAGGACGCTCAGCTTCCTCCTGGTCGCCAGGCCGGTCGAGTTACTTGGGCGGTTTGCGAGTCGCCTTCCATATCGGGTCTTGCTAAACAAGTAACTACGATCATCAGCTGCTTAAAAGGCAGCAATCGTTTGTTTGTTTGTTTGTTTGTTTGGGTTCACTTCCCAGGGCAACCCTTTAAGCGGCAAACTATAGGCCACTTGGCCAACATGCTTCCTGATCGGTAGCAAGAGTTCAATCACGCAAGCCTGGTCTACATCCATGTCGTTCGTGGCACCCATTTGCTGGCCCTTTGAGACGATGTAGTTGTAGACCCGCTCGTTGATGGACCAGTCCCGGTCTAGCACATGTAGTGCAATCACAGTCTGAAACCAACTTTTTTGCTTTGCCTTGGTCACGTAATTATCAAACGAAGGGGCAAGTGCCAAACGGACTTTCTGTGTTGCAACAGGTGCTGAACGCATTTGCAAGTAAACATGCGAAGGAAAGCACAAAGATCCCCCGGTTGGTGATGCAGGTCTCTGTCAGCAAGTCCTCTGGCGTTTGCGGGATGGCCTCCATGTTGCCAGATCGATCTTGGGCAATGTCCTCCTGCAACTGTAGGAATTGCTGGGCTGACATGTTCCCAACCATATGGCTGCAAGCCTCCGCTTTGGTCATGAGATTTTGCCCTCCCCCAAAGGGGCCATGGTCAACATTGCTCATGAGAGCTCCCAGTAGGAGCGCTGGTTGAAACCCCGCTCGTTTCAATGCCATACGGCAATTGTTCCACATTGGGTGGAGTGGCTCCCCCTCAACGTGTAGACGGAGATGACATCCATACTGCAGTGTGTACAGTGTTTTAAACGGAAGTTTGTCTTCGTCCGGCGCCTCGGGAGGCGACGCAGCGAAGCAAAATGACAGTTTGTTTCGGAACTGTAGAATATCGTAAGCTTCACACACTGCTGGCTTTAACTACCGAACTGGCCAGTGGCAAAGGGAAAACGGATGCCAAGAAACTGCCGTGAACATGCCACGCTCTTCCAAAGCAGCTGGCTGTAAGAGAATCGGCTTCCCTGGGAGCAAGACGTTCTCGGGGACCGCAGTTTCGAGCCCGTGCCCCAACGCTGACACCATCGCGGAATGAAGAGCTTTGGCATTTGCCTCGGCCACATGTCAACGAAGTCCTTGTACGCCCAGCACCCAACAAAAAGCACACTTTGGAAATACTAAGGGTTGCACGAGGATCCCAAAAATTGCCTTGTTGCTTTTTGTGATTTCGCTGTCTGGATCGCTGTCATGAAGACCAACGTTCCTCAGCAGTGACGCGTTTGTGAGGGGTAGCCAGGGGACCGAACAACATAGGTAAGGAGTGGAATCCTTTGGTGCAGTCCCCCCCCCAACAAAAAACACAAACAGGGGTGGCTTAATTGGGAATTTGTCGCCCCCTATCTTTTTGCACGTTGACATCGTTTCAAGTAGCGGGAGCACGCAATTTCACTGGTGCTCTCAAATCTTGGGCGTTCTTGTTTTTCTGGTAGTCGGCAGCGGGGTTAGCCGGTCAGTTGTTGTGAACACCCGTCACGCCACATGCCACAGGTGGCAAACAACATTGAAATGCTGTGACATGTCTAGGGTTCCAAGTTTGTTCTGCGTCCCGTTCAAAACTGTTTACTTTAATGGGGTTGGCCGCCAAGTCGTTATGAATGATCCCAGTCCACACAGTCTTTGAGGGATGCCACTAACTCACCCCGCAGCCAAGGCAGCTCTCGGAAGAGCTCCTTCGCGTGCACTGCGAAAGACGGCAGCGCCTTGGAAGGCAAGGCTTGGTGGGATTGACGGTCCTTACAGTTTTCCCTGATAGTAGTTGACTGAAACAACTTGTTTTCCACTTCAGCGCTGGCAGATGCAACTCGTTCCCTCCACGGCCCAGCGTAACAAACTTCAATTCCATGACAGACTCCAAATGAAACATGTGTCTTGGTGAAACCACCCTACCCAGCAACCGAGCAGTTTCACATCTCTGAGCCGTGTGTGAGGCTGCAATCCAGCCTGGCCTACGCAGTCAGTCCGTGAGTTGGCAGCACGGCGGTGCGCGCAACAAGTCTTGCGTACCACTTGACAAACGCTTGAACTGTTTATGTTGGAGCAAGCAAAAGGGTGTCAAGACGAGTCTCCAAGCGCAAACTGGTCCAAAAAGCCGGCTCATTTTCAGAGGCTTGGGTCCCTCTTCCGGATTTCACAGAAAAACACCCCCACACCCCAAATCCCTGACCCAAAGCCAAAAAAGTGCAAAAACTGATGGTTTTTTGGGGGGGGCCCCCCCACCCCAACAGGGCCCATCGGGGCCCATCGGGGCCCATCGGGGCCCAACAGGGCCGAACGGGGCCGAGCGGGGACTGAAAGATCCTTACAGGGCCCGGTGGCTCCTATCAGCAAACCTGTTGTTGAACGTTTTTGTTTTTGGTTTTTAGGGTTGCTTTTTTCCCTCCAGGAGACTGCTCAGGAAAAGGCAACCCACCAACACTGCCAGCTCAACAATCGGCCTAGGCAGGCATTTTAGCCTTCTCCGCGATGCGCTTTGGCACGGCTGGAGCTGGCTTTGGAGATGGCTCAGGCTTCTTGGGATCAGCCCCTTGCGGAGTGTCAACGTCTTTTGCTTTCTCGGGATCATTTGGCTTCGCGGGCGGGTCTTTGAGATTCTCCTTCTCCTTCGGGCTCTCGGCCTTTGAGCTCGTAGGAATTTTCTCGGGCTCGCTTGTTTTGTCATCTTCAGTCTTGGCCCCGGTCGGCTTGGAAAGGAGCTTGTGCATCCAGAGGGCCTTGGCAGCCCCACTCTTGCTCGCGGCGTAGACCTTTTGGCTGCCCTCATCAGGGGTCAACACAGGAAACGCCCATTTACCGCCAACGAGCTTTACTGGGTTTGATTTACTGTGAGTCCTCGCTCATGAAGAGACGCCAGTCGGAGCATGTTGCTGGCAAATTGCAGCAGGATTCAGCGCCAATGGTCTCGACTTGAAACGTGTTGGCACCCTTGTCCAAAGTCAGCTTGTACCCGCCTAGCTCCTCAAAATTCGGGGAAACGACACAGAGGGAAAACAATAAGTTGGAGTCTAGTTGGTCCCACAAACAAACATATAAATTTCAACGCCTGTCATGTCCTGGGGAAGCTCGGGGTCGTTGGCAGTCTCGCTCTCACCCTCACTCTCCGATGGCTCACTGGGTGGCGCAGGCTGCTCATCCGCCGGCGCTCCGCCAGGCTCGCTGCTCAGATCTCGACCTTGCCCGAACGGGTCCGGCGTAGCGGCCGGGGAGGGGGGGGGAAGGGGGGGAAGCCTGTTTGGTTCCAAAACGCGTCTTCATAAATATGCCCCTCTGACTTGATTCGTTAATTTGTTGGGTTGGAAGGGAGGCTTTGTATTTGGGCAGGGTTGGGTTTTTGTTGCTGGTCAAAAAGACTTAACAGACGAACCTTTGCACAATTGTTGTTCGGCCAAGACTCTCAGCTTTGGTACCTTACCCTCTTGCATCATAGTGAGCCAACCCTCGCCGCAGTCCTTACACTTGGGGCGATTCTTGCCGCAAGCGCAAAGGGGCTGCGGGTTGTCCTCGCCACTCTCATCGTCATGGCCACCAACCGGGCCTGACGCTGGCAGAGTAGGCGAAATGTTGCAAGGCTTTGTAACTTGTTTCTGTTTTGAGGGAAAGCTCAGCCATTCAGCCAGGAAGCCTTTGCCCGGGTTGCGCATACCAGGCAAAGGGGGTGGCCTCGACTTTTGGCTGACCAAAGTTCTGTTGGACCCAGCAACGCTTGTGTTTCCTGGAGGTGGGGCAGCGCGATCTTGCAAAGGCACAAGCTTGGGCTGGCTGATGGCTTCGGCCACTGACAGAGGCCTGGACTGGTAGTCCTCATCCCTCTGAAAGAAGGAGATGCAAGGGCGAGGGTTCTTTTGCTTCACATCCGTGGCAAACGGGATCTTCGTGTTCTGATCCTTCAAGATCTCGGCGGACCAAACTGTGGCGGTTGGGAGCCAGGCAGAGTGGGCGCCATCCGTGATGTACTGCTTGCCACCGCTCTTCAAGATCTGGAAAGTCTTGTTGCGGCTGAGCTCCACTTCCGTCTCCTTCACAACCTGCAAGAAGGCTTTGTTTGCCCCAGGCCGGCCGAGATGCTCGTAGGACTCCTTGAGCATGGACTCAATCTCTGGCTTGTCCGTCCTCGGATGCAAGAAGACGTGTTCGAGGGGATTCTTGAAAGGGACACTGTAGGGGTTGACGGGCTTCCGTTTGCTGAACCGCGAGAGATAGGCCCAAAGAGCCAAACATCTTTGACTTCCTTTTGGGAAAAAAGGGACATTCGGCCAAGCATCGACCCCAAGGACTTCTGGGCAGCCTTCTTGAAATAGCCGTAAAACCCCACACGGACTTGCTTCGGGTCAAGGGTTTTCAAGTACTCAACACGAGCATGCTGCGGCTCCACCGCAGCACAGAAGTCGATCAGGTGTGACACCTGCAGAAGTTTTACAGGGGTCCCGCTATTGCTCTTGTAGCAAACAGTAGGCGCTTCACAATGGAAATGAAAGCTCAGGCAGGCGCTGGTGTTGCGCCCCAATTCTTAAACTTCAGCTTGACACCGAAGGCTTTTCGTCCAGTGCTAGAGGCTGGCTTTGATCCCTTCTTGGAAGTCCCACCCTTTTTCTTGGATGTTTTGCGGGCTTTTGTAGGGCGGGACTCAACGCTGGAGTCGCCAGTGTTCTCTTCTTCGGGCTCTTCTGGTCCCAAGACTCCCCCATCATAGACAATGGCCAACGCAGACATTGATTCGACCATGCGAGTCCTGAGAGGCTTGATCCAATGGGCTACCAAGTAAACTGGATTTGTTTTTTGGCAATCCAAGCAGTTGGCAAGGGCAGCAAGTATTTGTTTTCTGGCTGCTAGGGTGAACTGTGTGAAAGCCTGGGTTAGACTGTTCTTCGCCTCCTGACTCGCAACTAGTAGTAGTGTTCCAGCGAGTAATTACATCACATGCAAGAGAGGGCCGCGCTTTCATTGATGGCAGCTCCTCACACTTTGCAACAAGAGCTGTCCAGGGGGCCAAAACACATTAGCCCAATCATTTGCGCCAGCGCGACGCTATGCATATGCATGGCGTTGCCCGCTAGCTGGGCAGCCCTGAGCACATCAAGGCTAGGGATTGTATGGACATCTAAAGCTTCGGCAACTCGGGGGTGAACTGGCCACCCCATCATGGTAAGCTTCTCCTTGCTTGTCAAAAACCGGGAATGGGCTGGAAGCCAAAACAAGCCAGACTTTGAGTTTACCCTAAAGGTAGGGCATCGACCGCTACTGGCTGACCACGTAAGGCTGTAGCTGGGGTTGTCTCCCAGAAAGCAGATCAGGTTTTCGTCGTTCTGCGGGTCTTGCTGGAATCGTTGACAGTAGGCTTTCCTGTACTCTTGTAGGCGACGGAGCTCGGCCTTGCTCAACAAGTAGGTTAGATCTTCCATGTTGGCGTGGTACTGAACACCGCGTCTCGCAGCCAACTGCTGGGCTTCCAACTGGATCTCGGTGGGGCTGGCAATCAGGAAATCTTTCACTTCCGTGGGTTGAAGGGCCCCTTGCAGCTTGGAAACCAGGCTGTCCTTCAGCTCAAAAGGGTCATACAAGCAATGGGAATACTCTCGGTTGCAACCAATAGCGTAGGTCCGGGTCCGGTTGACTGCGGTGAACCCGGAATCAGCTGGCTGGAAGAAGAGTTGGTACCAATCGAAACGGTCACCGTGGAGATCCTGCACCATGTCCATGTCTAACTCCTGACAGAATGAAGAGTTCTGGGCACAAGTTTGTGTCAGAGAAATGCAACATTTTATGCGACCAGCGCTGGTTGTGAAAACAGAATTTACCAATTGTTAACCTGACAAGTGTCTGGCGTGCACTCTAGGATCGGGAGTTTGACCCCAGTCTTCTGGCAGAACTTGGCATGGGTCATGTACACGGGCGCAGTGGGGCCAAACCGCTTCTTCCGCTTTCCAGCCCTTGACATGTCCGTGCAAGGAAGCCCTGACACGCCCAGGTCAACGCCCTGCGGCAGCGGGCACTCGCACGCGTGCGCGAGACAGTCTGCGGCCTGCTGGAGCCAGGACCCGACAATGGCACCTTTCTTGCCCCTGTAGGAGTGTGCTGTCTTGTAGCATCCAGGCACGTTCAAGTCCAAAATGTTTTGAAATAAGCACGGCGTCGGGTGCTGCTGACCGCTTTCACGCAAGCACCACCGATGGTTGTCAAAGATCAACTGGTGGCAGGAGGGTGAGAGTTCCTTAGAAAGTGTAAAACAAAACCCGCTCGTCGGTTAATTTTCTTGGTTTTTTCTCGTGAAGACAAAGCCAGAGCCAACAGCTCCCTGGTTGGGTATTTTGTCTCTCACACAAAGCGGGAGCAGAAACGCACACAGGCCAAGGGTCCCACATGGCCACTGTCTTGATATCTGGGGTGAAGGGCACAAGGCCTGAGGAAGTCACCGTTTTGAGCAGCAGTGTCCTTGCCATCTCAGCAGTTCCTGCTCCGGAGCACATGCTGTAGGCGGTGCGGGCGTGCGCCAGCCAAGATGCCTCACAGCACAAACAATGACTGGGCGCTCAAGGGCTTGGTGGCTTCAGCAGGCCTGCAAGTTGGCCTGCCCAACTTCTGGCGCTGCAAAGCGCCACGCTGACTGCAAAGAAGTCATGGCGCCAGTCACCCGTTCCCAGGATGTTTCCTGGCAGGCAGGACGGCTATAGCCCATCCACGAAAAGCGAGCAAAACGACGCTCTAATCTATTTGGCCGTCCTAAGCTTTTTCCTAACCAAAACAGGAAAGTCAAAACGCGCCAGTGTTTTCTTTTGAGCCAAGGTGAAAATCCCTTGCTCAATAGTCTTGAGAAGTCACGGTTGGACCATCTTGAGAAATGGTCCCAAAAAAGTCAGTCCTCCATGTCTACGGATTGCTGTGTGGATTGCGACAAGAGCAGGCTGGCTGAGCAGCTGCTGCTTTCGGACTCGCTAAGCACGCTAACAGCGTGCTCAGCAACTTCGGGAAAATCCATTGCAAAAAACAGGAAGCCACCTGGGCGGCTTCAACTACACTACAGTCTTGCCATTTCAAACAGCTACCTCGGCTTTGGATTTCAATCATAAGGTTGCAGTAATGCAAGGCTTCACTTTCGACTTATGTGGCAACTTACGTGGCAACTTACGTGGCATTTGCTTTGAGCGCGCGGCTTTGGGAGGACCCATCGCGCCGAGGTTGATGGAAGGACCTGGGCCGATGCGTTGGGGCTAGGGCTCAAACGCTGCCATGTCAGGGCGTGGCAAAAGAAGTGATAGGCCTCCATTGGCGCTTTTCCCAGACTGCTTCCATCAAATGAGACCTTGGGAACAAGTGCGGTTCAGCTATGCGCAGAAACATAAACAGAGAAGAGGGCTGATTATTGTAGAACAGGGCACATGCACGTGGCGTTCCGGGCCAAGTTCTCGTACGCAGGCTTGAATGTGCGCTGCCTTGGAGGCAAATCAAAGGTGTTGAGCCGAAACCGTTTTCTACACGCAGGTCAACATGTTAATTTGGCTGCAGCGGCTCCCTCTCTTTGGGCAACATATGTGGCCATCGCTGACCGAACCTTCGCGTCCTTGCAACCGGGAACTTCGCGAAGAGCATCTGATAGCAATGTTTCCTGGCTGGCGTGCGCTTGGGGAGACACACCCAAAATTTGGTTGGGTCGTGTTGAAATTTAATGCTGGAAAACAAGACGAGCGACCCCGTTCCGATGCACTTCTTGCGCTGCGCGAAACAAGTCGGCCGGGTTCCGCTTTGAGCATTTCGGAGGCGCTTTTTGAACCTTCTTGCTGAAGATGGAGTCGAAGTTCTTGTCCTGAGTTTGACAACACAACGCTAGCAGCACCTTTACTTTGTCGGACTGGCAAGCGCTCGAAGTAACAACTCAGCTAAGCGCCGCAAACATCGCTATTTGAGCAATCACTGATATGGATGTTTCCCTCAACTCCCGGAATTGGCCGTTGCTCCTCGGAGCCAGTACTGCTCACAAGAGTCAACCAGCACTCAACGCACACCAATTTTAAACACACAGTGTCTCAACAAAGCCGAGGAACGGGTCCAACGCAAAACCCAGCACTGAGTGAAGGACCAGGTCAGATCCCCAGTTTGTCATCCATGTTTTTGCGCCATCCTTCCAGGGGATTCGAGGGGTTGTGCGATCAAGAAACTACAGAATTGGGTGCGTGAACCCTTTCTCCCAAGAAAGCCTCAGCGTCTTGAAGCCAAACCTGTTCAATCTCTTCGAGCTCGTTGTGGGAAATGAGGAGGGCAGCTGGCACTCGGGCTGTGGTGGGCACCGGAACCCCCACTGGGCGGGCAAAATCCCCTACTTTCAGCTTCAACACCAGGTTGCCAGTAGAGGCGCATTCCTCAACCAGCTTCCCCAAAAGGCTTGTAACCGGCGCCCGGTGCGTGAAAGACACTTTGTTGTTCATGGCACGCGACAACAGCGCGCTGAAAAGCATGGAAGTTGGAAGAGTCAGCTCGGCAAAGAATGACCCTGCTGATGCTTGCCCTTCTTCAACTTCACCATGCAAAGGCGTCAGCAAACTTGGAGGCTCCCACCCAGGCCACAACAGCCTGTGGGTTTCTCGCCACGATTCGATGTTTCTTGACTTCATCTTTCCTTGCAGGGGTTCAGCCAAAAAACAGCTACCCTCTTTCTTCCCAAAAAACTATGTTGGTGACAAGTGGCTGGTTTTCTTGTTGATGGCTTTGGCATCGAAGTTTGCAGCATCAACAGTGTCAGCAAATGACTGGAAACACCGCAGAACCGTGTTCAGGCTCCACTCGCATTGCCGCCGTTGCTCCAAGGACTTGTACGCCCTGATCGCAACGCTACCGATTTGCTTTTCACCTTAGCTGCTTTTTTCTCCCGAAGTCTTTGCGTTTAACCAATGCCCAAAGAAGAAATTAAACTGAATGCAGCCTCAGGACAAGCTGAGCTGAATGGCGGCGCTTCTGACAGCGCCATGTGCGTGGAAAAAACGGCTGGGGGCATTGGACTCGAATTGGAATGGCGGCGGTAGCTTGGTAGTCTACCCGAACTTGCAAATACCCAAACTTGCCAAATTCAGTTGATTTGCTGGGGCCCCCTTTGGGGGAGCTCTACTCTGGTTCATGAGAGAGGTTAGACTAGGGCTACCATATTTTTTCTGTAGTCTATTTAGTAGGGGAACCCTCCCCCAACAAAAAGGGCAAAAGTGCCCACTACTGGGGGACCTAGTCAATATTCCCTTAAAAACATACTGCACCCCAAAATTATGAGGTGAGATCTGTTTTCTTCATGGGCACAGGTCGCCGTTTCAAGATGTTTCAAGTTTTTGCGAATGCGTGCTCGGTTGCAGTCGACCGAACTGCCATCCCTTCACTTTGCAAACGATCCTGGACTATAGCCGATTCAAAACAGAAGTAAACCAACCCTGGATCGCCAGTGGCGATCTTGTTTTTGTTTCATGCACTCAAAACCCCCCAAAACTGATCGCAACAGTGACGGGGGAAAGGAAAAGCAAAAACAAAAAACGCAACTTGGCTTTCTAGGTATGGCCAAGTTGTTAAGAAAAAAATGAGAGTTCAGGATGAGTCTTTGAGGGTAGCTGCAGTCTCCCTGACGCTTTTTGGGGTAACCCGGCATCCCCAGCCGCTGGGTGGCTACCAATAGCGAAGTCTCTCTCGAGTGAGCTCTCACCCAATGGCTCTGAAGGATCAGAACGATTTTGAGGAATGAGCCCAACAACCCAAGAACAACCAAACCCAACCACAAACCCTAATCCCAGCAGTAGACGTTCAACCCAAGAACCCAAGCAACAGCCCAGCAGCGCAACAGCCAATGTATTAAGGGTGGAGACTCCAGGTACCCTTTGGCAAGGGCAAGCCACAATTACGAACCCATGTTGAGACAGACCCAGAAAGGTGACTACCGCGAACTACGGCAAGCCACCATTTCACCCTTTTGGGGGGTGACCAGGGTTCGTTTGTGCTTGGTGCGGTTGCTACGCTCGGATCCGTACCAAATATGGACAAGCTGCAACGCGACAGTTTCCCTTCATGAACAAAGAAACTTGCGAAGGGAAGCCCCTACAGGGTTGCTCCCAACATCCTGCAGGGGAAGGCAATAGCCAATTTACTGAAGTTTCATGGACAAACAAAACATATTGTCGACTGCCCAACCAGGGGAAACAACACATATTCTTCATGCGGACCCCGGATTCATAAACTGGTTGACTTTCTTGGGGCTTCATCAACATGTTTGAGGGGTTCTACTTCGATCCGCGGTCGACATTCACTAAGCACCAGGACGCCAACAAAAAACGAAATTTCTGGCGGCCAGCAAGCGCACGCCACTTGCAGCCAAGGCCGTGCTTTGCCAGTCTGGCACGGCTAACACTATCAACATTTGCAACCACTCCGAGCCGGATAGCCATTCCAGACTGCAGCAACATGGCCATGGGTCAAAATCCCGGTTACCAATCCCCCACTAAAATAGGCTAAAGTGGGTGGTGCACCTACCCCAGAATGGTACAATTGGTTTTGACCCACAGCAACATTAGATTATCGGTGACAGACCATTGTTGTCAGCTTTGCATTTCTCGGCGCGGGCTATGAGCCAGCACTGCTTGCAACGCTGTCACAGCTTTGCCATGCAGCAAACCGCTATGGTGTAACGCTCATGTTGATCGCCGTCTCTTAGCGGCGCGGGCATCCCCCAAGCACTGCACAACTACCTCATGCACTTGCAGTGATCTGTCCGAATTGTCGGCCTTCTCCTTGTCAGCACCGGCCTCCAGCAAGGACTGCGCAACTGCCTGATGACCCTGCATTGCAGCACAATGCAACGGTGTGGCGCCCTGATTGTCCGCCTTCTCTTTGTCAGCACCGGCATCCAGCAAATACTGCACAACTGATTGATGACCATGTGCAGCAGCAAAGTGTAACGCTGTTCTGTCCGAATTGTCAGCCTTCTCCTTGTCAGCACCGGCCTCCAGCAAGGACTGAGCAACTGCAAGATGACCCTGCATGGCAGCACAATGCAACGGTGTGGCGCCCTGATTGTCCGCCTTCTCTTTGTCAGCACCGGCATCCAGCAAACACTGCGCAACTGATTGACGACCACGCGCAGCAGCAAAGTGTAACGCTGTTCTGTCCGAATTGTCAGCCTTCTCCTTGTCAGCACCGGCCTCCAGCAAGGACTGCGCAACTGCCTGATGACCCTGCATTGCAGCACAATGCAACGGTGTGGCGCACTGATTGTCCGCCTTCTCTTTGTCAGCACCGGCATCCAGCAAACACTGCACAACTGATTGATGACCACGCGCAGCAGCAAAGTGCAACGCTGTTCTGTCCAAATTGTCTGCCTTCTCCTTATCAGCACCGGTATCCAGCAAGCACTGCACAGCTGACTTATGACCATGCGCAGCAGCCAAGTGCAACGCTGTTCTGCCCAAAGTGTCTGCCTTCTCCTTGTCAGCACCGGAAACCAGCA